ACTGGTCCGCCACCACCACTCTCCTCTTCTCCTGCAAGGAGCAGCCGCATCAGCGCGGCCGCGGGAGCAGGGCCCTCGGCACGTGTCCGCGCTCCCGCGGGAACCGCCGCGCTGCCGGGCCCGCGGCCTCCCTTACCTCCTTGAAGTGCACAGACGTCCTGTGCACCTGGGCACGGTGGTTCACCTTCAGGGCGTACAAGATGCTGGAGAAACTGGGCATCTTTGTGTCAGTCCTGCACGGTAAGAGGGAGAGAGCGTTTCGGTACCTCCTTGAAGTGCACAGACGTCCTGTGCACCTGGGCACGGTGGTTCACCTTCAGGGCGTACAAGATGCTGGAGAAACTGGGCATCTTTGTGTCAGTCCTGCACGGTAAGAGGGAGAGAGCGTTTCGGTGCAGGGGAAGAGCAGCGAGGGGCGAAGTCGGGGCGGCACAGGCTGCGCGAGGGTGCTCCAACCAGTCCCCTCCACTCTGCGGGAGGGAAAAGGACGGGGGCTTTTGCACTGGTCCCGCTCAAAACTTGCACCCCCTCAGGCTGCTATGGCTCACAAGCTTTTCCACCACGTTTGGCTTGAGTTTTGTGGGATTGCCTGTCTAGCAAACCTCATGCTACCTAGAGGCTTGTGGGTCCCTTTGCAAACAGGGCTTGCCACGGGCAAGCAGGGGTCGGGCTGGAAGGGCACAAAGCCCCAGGCAACTCCACGGTACAACTGCGAACAGCTGGGGTGGGTGCTGCAGGGTCCCGGCCTGGCAGCGTAGGCGTTTCTGGATGCCATACGTGAAGCTGAGGCCCCGGGCAGGCTGCTCGGATGCCGTTCCAGCTGTGCTGCCGCCGTCCAGCTGTGCTGTGCCTGTTCCAGCTGTGTCACGGCCCTTCCAGCTGTGCCGTGGCTGTCCCAGCTATCCCGCAGAGTCCCTGCCTGGCCCCACTGGGGCGTGCAGCCTCTGCACTTGCCTGTGTACAGGTGGCAGCGGGGCAGGGACGTGGCACTGTCCCCAGACCCTGGAGGTACAAGGATGTCCTGGAGGGGCAGGGACGACTCAGCGGGGTCCGGGCCCAGGGCTGAGCCTGCGCAGGGGGCATCCGGCAGAGAAACTGCTTTGGCTGCTCCTGGCCAAGCCCACGCGCCGAGGCGCCCGCCGCAGATCGACAGTGTCTCTAAGGCACTGACTTGCCACTTCCTGACCCTGGCAGGAGAGCTGCCTCCCCATGACATTTCCTCCGGGCCGCAGAGCACATCCCTATGACCTTCTGGCTGTTTGCACCCAGACTTGGCCAATGATTAACAGCAGTGACATTGCTCAGGGCCCTGCTCTGGGCCAGCGTGGCCGGTGCCGGCGGGGGGAGCCTAGGCAGCGGGTGCCGGC